AGAATTTCTGAACATTAAAATTTTTTTTTAATGAATTGTAGGAAATCCTTCCATGGTTTGATTGTTTAGCATATTTTGAATAACCCTTTGTTGAACCAATGAAATTAATTGTGGCATATTATCTTGTATTCGTTTTTGAATTAATTCTGTAAGACGGATTTCAGCTTGAGGTTCTTTTTCAAGTAATTTTTTTCCTAATGGTGATGAATAAAATTTAATTAATCCATTTATATCAGATAATGTAAAAAGATCTCGATAAATTTCAATAATATCCGGACGTAATGATTGAAATGAGAAGTATTTATTAATAAATGCCACTAAATCCGATTTATACGGTGAAAGAAAAGGATTACTAAATATACTTACTTCTAAGACCTGTTCATATTTTTTTTCAGCTTTGGTTACATTAAGTAAATAGTTTATACGACTTGCAATTTTTCCACTTACTGGAGGTTTACCTTCGATTCGAATTGAGAAAATAATAACAATTACGAGAATATAGAAACGAATAGACATTTTTATGTATTAATCAATAATCGAATGAAGATCCCTTTTTTATACCTTTTTGTTTCTTATTTTATAGTGATAAGAATTTAATTGATATTTGATCTTTGTTTTTTTATTTCATTGTACTTTGCATGAGAGATAATTCTAATTAAATACTTTTTATCTTTTATTTGATCCTTTAATAAAATCTACGTACAACCAGTATACAAACTCCTATTGATAGAAACTGATGGTACAATAATAATAATTAGCTATGCTATCAGAGATTGATACATATGAAAAAATCTCGATTTCGATAGTATCTATATTCGGATTTGATTGAATTTCGATCACTAGATGGTATTATTTACAGTTTTTAACTCTATCTATAACACGATGGTAATATTTTTCTATTTAAAATTGTTCTTATTTATCGATAAGAGATCCGATGTAACTAGCAATGAAACCCTTTAGAACTGTATTTTAATGATAAAACAATTTAACAGCATCATATATGAAATAAATTTTATTTCGCAGGTGACACTAGTTTGAAATTTACAGCTACTACAAATATTTTAAAAACATGAGCAGAGTTTTGAACGGTTCTTTGAAAACGACTTGTTTTGCTGAGTTTTAACAAACTTCTTAGATAGTGTCCTGTTTTTTTAAACTCGTACAAAAGGATTTTTTTTGTACTTTTCGATTTGTATTTGATCTGCTGCAATAGTGTAAAACTTGAAAATTTGAAATTTCTCAATTGAATTTAAGTTTCAAGATTTATGTAATCAAAATCAACTGATCAAACACATTCTAATTGATTCAAATATATTTTCAGAAGATGGAACCGTAACCATATAATTACTTAATTTTTCATTCGATGAAAATAGATTGTACCATAGATCAGAAAAAAACAGTTTTTTTTTCTTTTAATGTCTTTAGCACTATTGTCTGTTAAAAAACAATGACCGTGGCCATTGTTGTAATAATTCAAGAAAGAAAAGAGCTAGAGAGCAGCAGTTTTCACCAGTTGAAAGAGATGATACTAGGAGATCTTTTTCTCCAATATTCTATAAGACGAAATCATTTCTGCAAAAGATTGAAAAAAGTCCATGAAAACGATCTGTCGTTTTGATGAAATTTTCGTTTTGATATGTGATTTTTATAGAATGAACTGAGCTCTATAGTTTAAGATATTATTTGAATGATTATCTTTACGCATTCTAATGCTAAGCAAATCAAATTCTTTATTAACTTTCTTGAATAGTATCAATTTATCTTAATTTTTTAAGGAAATTTTATTGACCTTTTTTTGTGCTTTTTTTCGATGTTTTGTAAAAACGTTTGGTTCTAAAATGATTTCATCTTATAGAATATTGGTGAAGACAATGCCCTAGTTTCGTCTCTTTCGATTGATGAAAACTGCAGTTCTCTATATCTTTCCTTTTTTGAGTTATTGCAAAAATGGCCACGACCATTAGTTTTCTTTTTTAAACAGACAATAGTTCAGACTAATGGACTATTTATTTTATGAATGTTTTATCTCGTAATAAATTAGATTATGTTATTATTCGAACAAAATTCTCATCATTATGTAAGACAACAGATAATTGTGTTATTTTCTATAAAACATATGAAGATGATCTTGATAAAACCACGTTGAATAATTATTCAATTATTTCTGCAGAATATGTAAAATATGCTGAGAAGAAAAATGAGATGAAAAAACTTCTGTGTTTTTTTCTAAATTCGTAAATTTAAATATGTATTGCTTATTGTACAAATGATTTTTATAAACATTTTGTTTTTTAGTTGAAACATCTGATGTTGATCAATATTTAATTACTAATATATGAAAAGGTAAATAACATGAAAATAAACTTTAATTTCTTTCATTATCTAAAACATTGAATTTGAATTGTTGAAAAACTAGATTTGACAAATTTAATTGATAATATGAATTTTGTAACATCTCAAGATGATTTATTTTATTTAATAACAAATATTACAATTGAAATTTATTATAAAATATAATACGTGTTTATGAAAAAGATTTTCTTATTTGATATCTTTCAAAAATTAAATCAGTTGTATATTGAACGACAAATTACGTATGTTGGATTTATCCATTGGTTATATATTGATTTGATAAGATAATAAAAAAAACCTATAAAATGATGTTTCTTTTTAAGTTTTGAATCATTTCTTTCTTCAACAAAAATATACAGATATAATATTGCTCAATCACTTCATAAACAATTTCTAAATAAATTTAATTTAACGGTGTTGATGTTAATATATTAACTACTGAACAGATTTTTCTGGATTCAAATGGATTATTTTTATCAAATCCAGTTACAATATCAATGTGTTTAGTTCATCGAAAAACTATACAAAAAAAACATGGTCAAAATCTAACGTATACATATAGATTTTTATGGTGTATTTTCCATTCCAATGAAACCATTCTTGTCAATTACTGCACTTGTTTGGATTTGTCAGGTTGATGGAGTTTTTTTTGTTGTTACTGTTCGAGGTAACGCAAATTATAATGAAGTATGACATTAAAAATGGATAGAAATTGAAAAAAACTTCATACTTTTCTTCAGGCCCCCTCCTCAAAAATCTATCTCAGCCCAGGAACATCCAAATTGGATGAAACTTTCAGGATATGTTGGGACTGGAAAGTGGAGACTACCATAAAATTTTCGACCCGAAATCTTCAGGTTTTAGGGAGATATGAACCAAACAAGGGTCAAAAATGACTCATTTGGCATCCCAAATGATTCGGTCCTCGTTGGTTCAATATATTAAGATTTTTTTTGTTGGAAAGAGCATCTCAAGATGCAGGGCATGATGGGACTGTTTTTTTGAAATAGTCCCTATTTAAGCGCAAAACAGAGATCACAAGTTCAGCTACTAAAAAAAGTGTCAAAAAATGGTAACCAAATCATATAACTGCCTGTATATTGACCAAACAAAGGCTTAATTAAAAAAAATGGCCCTATCATGCCCTGCGCCTTGAGATGCTCTTTCAAACAAAAAAAAAATATTAATATATTGAACGAACCAGGAAGGAAAAATTTTGGATGCGCATTTGAGAAAGCTGAAACTGAGAAAAAACGAAAAACATTTTTTGATTTTTCAAAAAAAAGCTGGTTTTTCGAATAGGGGTTGACAGAAATCTTGAACATTTTTTGGAAAAAATGAAGTAACGAGAAAAACAAATTATCGTTTATGAAAGAGCAGATGACGGGCTATCTCCCTATGCATTTATCTCAATTTCGGAATTTTTGACGAAAATTGACTTTTTTTGAGGAGGGGGGGGGGGCTTAATGTATGTGTTTTTATTGAATGAATTATTTCAAATGAATATATTCAATCAGAATAAGTCTCAATAACAGGTGATAGAAACCAATGATTAACCATAGCTGCTTGTGTTAATATCCCACTTGATTTATTTGTTTGTGTTGTTTTACAAGTTGGTATATTTAATTTATATTGATATCAAAGATTTACAATTGCTTTGCGTTGATATTTATATATTGAGAGATAATAATTTTTATGTTTTTTTTAAAGGATATTATTGGTGTGATGAATATGGTAATTAAGATATACTTGAAGAATTTGAATGGATTAAATCAATATCAAAATTCTATAATATTTCGAGAAAATTCAAAAATATATCTAGATATTCTTTTAATAATAACTAATCATAATGTTTGTGTTGACATCAGTTTATTCATTTAAATATATATATCATAATTAAAATATCAATTAAGTGAAACAATAAATCGTTTAGATCATTAATTGATTTTCGAGTTGGAAATGATATTTATTTATCATTAAGAAAAAATTTTCTGTTTTAAGTTCGAGTAAATCAACTGTGAAAGAAATTGAAGAATTATTCAATATTTATTCATTTATTTCTTATATGCTGAATATTCAATGGTATGATTAATCGATCAAAAGACACTTTTTTTGTTATCTTTTCACTTAAACTATCATTAGAGATAAAACAAGATCAGTTGACATAAACAAAAAAAAATTATCTTTTCGCAAAAACTAATAAATAATCTTCTAAGAACTAAATAAAAAAGAAACATATGTTATTGTGATATTTAATATCTTCACTTTATGAGAAACCTATTAAAAATCTTTAATCTCTTCTTTCATAAACACGGTTTAACATGGGATGATCAGTTTTTTAATGATATTCCACGAAAATAAAGTATATATATGATGTGCTTCTTCTTCCTTCATAACATTATTTTTTTCTTAATTCTCGATGAACAACTCATATTCGTTACCTTTTAAAAATATTTTTTTTTCTATTTATTAAAATATTGATTATTAGCATCTGATTAACTATTGCTCGAACATTTGAATCATCAATTAAACGTAATACTTTTGAAAGTGCGATTTAAAAAAAAAGAACTAATGATTTCCGATCATTAATTACACAATTAGTATTAGGAAATGATTTATGGATACATTTAGTTTAAAATGATGCATAAATCAGGTTAGTTTTGATTCTATATTCATCGATTTGAAAAGAAACGTTTATTTCTAGATTTTCATATAATATTGATAAAAATATATTTTCTGCTGAAAACAATACTAAACAAATGAAAATGGATCCATTTTCAAAATATAGTGCACTCCAATATTTTTTTTAAATAACTCAAGAATACAAATAGTTAAAGATCTTTGGTTTTCACCATTCGATAGAGGAGACAAGAAGACGCCTTTTTTTCAATATTGTTTAAGACGGAATTATTTTAAAATCAGTCATTTCTCTAAAGCATAACACAAGACATATGAAAACGATTTGTCATTCCGATGCAATTTTTATTTTGATATGTGATGTGATCTAGATAGAGGAACTTCACATCCATGGCTGAAGATATAATTCGAATGATTATCTTCTGACATTCTACCGTTGAACAGATAAAATCATCTATTGAATCGAACGACAACCATGGATTTATTTTAATTTTTAAGCACATTCTCTTGCTTTTTGTCAAAATTTC